TTCCTGAGCCCCATGGACGGGTGAGGCACAGCCCAGTGCAAGAAGGCCCCTTGTGGAATGAAAGAAATGAACACACACAGACCGGAGATTCACGGTCCTGAAGCAGGAGCAGAAGCCCCAGGCAATCTCCCAAATACTCCATCTAAAGCCTCTCACCTTTCAGGGCCCAAGCAGGGTTCTCTGACCTCCTCCTCAGCCCTGATTCCATGGCTACACATGGCCTTCACAGTGATCCACCCCAAACAAGAGGCCTGTGGGAGGTAGAAGGATTCCGTGAGGCGGTAACATTTGCAGACGTGAGGTTACCCACACACAGTTCACTTCCTTTCATAGACACGATGATCCAAGAATCCCAGTTCTTAGAAGTAGCTCTCAGAAGGCATTCAATCCCCAACAGCCCCCCCCATGCTAGACCCCACCCTTGCTGTGAGGCCGCAGAGCTTGGTGGCCGCCCAGGTCTCCTGGCTATTAACAGCAACAACAATTCCTATTGGCTACCACCATTACTACCTATTGCAGGGGGCAGAGACTAGGCAGTGATGACGAGGGGAGTGCATGGGCTGGGGTCTGCAGAACCCTGCCCCGTCTATAAAGCAATTTGGACTCAGCTCCAGTCCATGGAACCATGAAGAAGTATACCCAGTAGTGAAAGGTAGTGAGATTTTCAACAGAAGCTGAACATTGAGAGGTGGGCGCATTGGCTCACACCTGTAATCCCAGCACTTTGGGAGGCCTAGGTGGGTGGATCACCTGAGGTCAGGAGTTCAAGACTAGCCTGGCCAACATGATGAAACACCATCTCTACTAAAAAATATAAAAATTAGCTGGATGTGGTGGTGAGCACCTGTAATTCCAGCCACTTGGGAGCCTGAGGCAGGAGAATCACTTGAACCCCGGAGGCAGAGGTTACAGTGAGCTGAGATCACACCACTGCACTCCAGCCCGGGTGACAAGAGCAAAATTCTGTCTCAGAAAAAAGAAAAGAAAATTGAGTCTCTTTTGAAACTCTCACTTTTAAAACATTGGAAAATAATTCAAAAGTTAAAGAGGATGGATACGGGCAAATAAAAACAGGTCTGGGGCCCATATCTGGGAATGCCAACATACCGTGTGTCTACTGTGACTATCTCACAGGCATAGGCACAATGGCCACTGTACTGGCCCGGCTCTTGGCAGACCATGTCAGGGGAGGAGTCCTCAGAAGATTCTTCTTAGGCTGTGCAGGCCATGCTTGACCCTCCCCTCAGTGCTCTGACTGTCTGTAAGCCTCAGCCAGGACATTCCCCTCAGGTGCCTGCCTCTTCCTCCTAGGCCAGCTCAGAGATTACCACCTTCCGGACATCTGTTCAGCCCACTGAGATTGCACCACTGCACTCCAGCCCGAGCAACAGAGCGAGACTCTGTCTCAAAAAAAAAAAAAAAAAAAAAAGTAAAAATCTGAAGAGGAATATTCAATCAGCGGAGAAGAGACAGATTTTTCTCCTTCTATCAGGGCACTCAGCTCACCTGAAAACACAAGTCCTCCTGTGCTTTCCAGAGACAGCCCAGCAACATCCTTAGCCCCAAACTTAGCCAACATGGCACTGGGCTTGTGGTGGGAGTGCCACCTGGTGGCCACTCTGGAACAGAGCCGAGTCTTAGCAGAGACTAAGTACATCTCTCTGTCCTACACATACATTCTGCATGCACTTTTGTATGACAGACACTCCCAAAACGTTCTGGAGACAAACTTCTCCCTCCCATTCCTATGCCCAAAATCCATCTCTGAGCCTCTATTCTCACTGTCCAAGGTGAGGCAAGGCAGAATCTCATAAACATCATATGGAATCCATCTAGACTAACAAAATCTGACTAGACGTGGCTGGGAGGCCAAAGATTATGTGTCAGCCTAGATACTGACTTAAGCAAGGCCCTGATCAGTCCAAGCCTCTCTTTCTTTGTGTACAAAATGAGAAAGAGGAGCTAAATCTCTATCTCTTCTCCTGGTCTGTCTTCTCTCTATATCAGAGAGATAAAGCTTTCTCATTCCATCTTCTTCATCTCCTTCTGTAGGATGAATTAAATATGCTTTTAAAGTGATGTTGGCCGGGTGTGTTGGCTCACGCTGGTAATCCCAGCACTTTGGGAGGCCGAGGTGGGTGGATCACCTGAGGTCAGGGGTTCAAGACCAGCCTGGCCAAAATGGTGAAACCCTCTCTCTACTAAAAATACAAAAATTAGCTAAGAATGGTGGCACACGCCTGTAATCCCAGTCACTTGGAATGCTGAGGCAGGAGAATCACTTGAACACAGGAGGTGGAGGTTGCAGTGGGCCGAGAGCAAGCTGTTGCACTCCAGTCTGGGCAACAAGAGCAAAACTCCATCTCAAAAATAAAAT